AAGGATACGCAACTAATTCCATCAAGTTTACTATTTTTACCAGAGTACCTACACAAATGGATGTCCACTAAATTCGAAGAAATATGTGTACATAGAACTTGAAATAGTTACACATGGTAGTGGCTACTGCCAAATAATATGTCGCAGCATTAATCTAATAAATAAATTTAATTTTTAATCATACAAAAGACATTTCACAAAGAATTATAATTACACGCATTATTATTTCATACATGTGTTATTGAAATGTTTGATAAAAGGATTATTAAGAAAATTCTTATCATAACTTGTTTTTATTGATCAATTTTGAAACTCACTAAAGAGATCACGCTGATAGATGACAGCAGCTTTAGCAACGCAGTGTGTCACAGTCATCAGCATTCCAAATAACATCACGAGTATGATATATTAGAAGGGAGAGATAGAGAGAATCGTGTGACATAATAAACCGCATCATCGTGAAAGGAGGAGAGTTAGGGAGTCCCCTTTGTTAAATTATTTTTTCTTTGCAAAATTATACCTGATAAATATAATAATACGCAGGGTCGAGATCGTAATTCGATTCAATACATTTATCGCGAAAATTTTCAAATATGTCGGCTAACAGCAACACATCCGTTTTTAAATATAGAACGTTATATTCACTCAAGGTTTGAACAGAGAACTGTTCAATTGCCATACATGTTCACGGCATGCGCGTAATCGCTTTATATGATCAGTGTCATCACGGGTCAAGGAATTATAGATTCGCGCGATGGTATCTTGCAGCTTGTTAGCACAATCAATGCATTCATATGGAAAAATTCCTTTTCGTGTCAGTAACTTAAAGTCTTCTTCAAACAAATTTTGAAATTCGCATTGTAAAATTTGAAGTTCATTTTTATTGAGAAAGGATGCTAATTTGTCGAGACTGGTACTTAAAAATTTATAAGAATCGATGAATCGTAATTTTATGTTATTTCAATTTTATGTATATTTTTCCTTTGTTATTGGTCATAATTCTATACTGCCTTCATATGTTGTAGCTATTTCTTTGATAATAAAATGTGAATTTCTATAATTTAATTGCAATTTGAATGCGCAGGATCATTACCCCAACCATCAGTTAAATGGCAATGATTGCTTACTCGATTATCGTCTAGCGCGAAAGGCTTCTCGCACACGTGACAATGCGTCGCGCTGCGCAATGTCTCCCACTGTTCACTCGACAAAGTTTCCATGGGAACATTAGCTGCTAAAATTTTTTTTATGCGATGTGTTAAACTTCTCAGTTTTTCGGCGAACCATGAAACGCAATCCGGATCGCTATGAAATTCGATATTTTGATAGCGAATCGTCGTACGAACAGCGCGTATCCTATACTAAATACTTGATGATGATGTTGATACGTGCGCGTAGATGCTTCCTGATCGCTGTCAGTTTTCTCAAGGATGCATTCTAAATCAGCGTAAATGACAAATGAAACTCGTTCCTTTCTATTACAGTGGTTAAAACTCAACCACTTGTCGTCGTCGTTCGGTAGTCGTTTATCTGTCAGCAATCTACCATGCGTGATTACAATCTCTCATTGGAATGGAAATGTAAACAGCTGCAAATAAAAATAAATAATGTTAATTTTTTTTTAAAGAAGAATTCAATTTTATTAATCATATACTTACCGATCGCAAATGTACTTTTGATTATGATGTTTACTCAATTGCGAATTCATGAGCCGGGACAGATTCTTGATCCATAGGAAATGACTCACATTGTCGTCTCGCGGATCTTGTAAATATAATAAATTAACATATTTCTTTTTGTCGTCAGCAAGTCGGGAAAACATTTAGTGTTTTCTGTCCCTCGATACTGTATACATATAATAGACACGTCGTTGAGACGTTTAAATTTCGTTACGTTTTTTAACATTATAGGAAATTCTATATGCAAATTCAGCATCATCGTATAGTGTGGGTAGAAAGATTCACGATCCGCGTTTTTTTCGGCTGAGTACAGAGCGGCGACCACGTGAAGCATGGTCGATCGCACGTGTTAATCACCATTCTCTTTGTCATTATCTCTCGCGGCACTTCGAAGTGATATCCCACGTGTTTGGATTACACTTGATGATATTGGATTACACTGATGTTTATTGTAAGATTCATGATTCGCGACAACGCCCATCCACTGTCACGTTCTTGAAACTTCTCAAGAGATGCAACGTGAGTTCGATGACATGCTGATTTCGTAACACTCACATAAGTTCGATGTTTGAAAGAGTTTATAGTTTTTAGTATTAATATTTTTATTGGCACGTTTATCACCCGTCGCAAATTCACCGTTAAATATCGTGTTCACTTTTATACAGTTGTGTTTTTCTATTGTGTCTTGTACTCGCTCGAGCACTACACTGCTAATATCTTCTAAAAATCGACGCGGCTTGATAGTCCATGTTAATTATTGCACCAGTTAAAATTCGATTTTCAAACGCTGCATTGATCTCTCGCCAAAAGATCTTTCCACATTATTGTCACTGCTTACGTAATCACCACCAAAATGCAGAAATCGGCTTTCTAATTGAGTCTTTGTACCCTCGAGTCGTGCAATTGTAGTGATTAGAGATTGTGTCTGTATCCAATGGAAAGCCGTGGACGCTTGACATGATTGCGTTCTTCAAGCTGTTTAATAAATTCATTATTCTTCTGTCCACGCGAAACACTCCTTCAAGGTAGCAACTTGGTGGAATCGCTTCAACAGATCGCGCTCTACTTGACTGAAATCTCGATCCGAATTGTTTACAACAATTTATTGACAAGATGAGTCCGCTCTCATAGATTTCAACGTACTATAATCTGGTACATTTCTAGACTGAATTTATATTCATCTGTAACTCCCTCTTTTCAGAGTAGAGCATTATGCGCTCATTTTCAAAGTATGCTTCAAAAAAACGCTCTACCCTCATAAAAATTTATGAAAATACAATTCTATCGAGTTTCATTTACATTTACACTTCTACTAACTTTGAAACATATTGCAAAAACATGTTCGATTGTCATGTTCCCTTCCAAAAAAAGGATAAACAATCGAGGTTCTTTTCAAGGGAGGGAGACATTGCGTTTCAATATCATCGATTTCGATAGCAACCAGATGTTAGCACTCAATCGATTAATTATGAAACTTAGTCGTATTTATTTAAAATAATTAATAAATATTGTTTCTAGAATAATTACGCCATATCTTGGCCAAAAAACGGTTGGAGCATATATCAGCGAATAGCCTTTGTAACACTTTTTGATTTACAATCATTTGTTTTTTGTATTGTTTTTTGTTCATGGCAATATTTTCTTTTTTGTGATGTTTTTTGTTGTCTTGTACGTGACTGCAGTCCTCAAAATCTGTAATGTCTTACTGTCCCGATGATATCATACCCCCATCTCTGAAAAATCCTCCGCGCCCCGCATTCTCCGAGTTCCCGAGTTAGAATTCCCACAACATTACTACTTTCGTATCTTAAAAATATTTTTTAATTTATATTATTCGATCCCAACTGTGCTTATTTCTTTATGTGTGTTCTTTTTTCAGGATAACGCTAATGCTAAAGGAATTACTTTCTTTGAATATGAGTCTAATGTATTTGACAAATGTTTTTCTTTTTTGTTTTCTTGATGTTATGCTGATAAGTGCAGTGAGTAACATTTAATAATAATAATAATATCAAAAATGTTTTTTAGATAATTGAAGGTGATGTTAATGATAATGATGTCAAACCTAGGTATTATCGAAGGCTCCTGTTGAAGGAATTATGATTATTATGTATATATCCGGTGGCTTAGTACAGCTTTATATTTTATGCTCATGCGTTAATCAATTACTAGATGCGGTAAGCTTTATTTTAATATTTATCAATACATTTATTACCTTCATTCTTTCTATCTTGCAGTATATTTTATTTCGTAATAATTTTAAAAAAGTTTTAAATTGTGGTACAATTTTTGATTGTAATCTAATGTTAAATTTATTAATACTTAAGAAGAGTAGTTACATATTTATCAAATTTAATTTTTTATTTTTTATTTAAAAGGATTCTGAAAACGGATTAACATTAATAGATATATTACATACAAATATAGAGGGCATCAAATTTCGGCCCAACCTATCCTGAGCAGGTAGAGCAGACTAAACTAAATAAAAAAATTTTCTATCATTTTACAGTTTGCATAATAGTTAACAATAGTTAATGAGATATAAACGTTTAAAGATAATCGAATACACGCATCCGCCCAATCTACTATTGCTAAAGATATAGCTCACTAATCGCAGGCCATGGGGATGGCCTAGCAGGCACGCCGCGCCGTTTAAAATTAGGGGCTCCGGACAATAAAAGGAACAGGGAACAGAGAACAATGAATAAAAATTTCAATCTATCAAAAACTGTGTATTTCACAATACATGATTTCTGATAGGTTGAAATTCTTATATTCTCTGTTCTCTGTTTACTGCTCCTTTTGTGCGAACCCCTTTAGACTCTAAACGGCGTGATGGACCATATCTTCGGCAATAATTATTTTTCTCGTTAACTCTACCTGCTCAGGACAGGTGAGATCGAAATTTAATGCTATCCTGTATAAATAATATATAATATTTACGAAGTAAATAATAGAACAATGTTGAAAGTTATCTGTGTATAATTAATAACTATATCTCTTAAGCTTATTAGACAATCTATAATCTAGGTTAGAATTTAGAATATAACTTTATTTATAATTTTGTATGCTATATAAAAGTAAAAATTTTGAACATAGCATGTATATAAATTACATAATTTATTAAAATGTTAATTATATATTGCATAAAGTCGATTCTATGTTGCCATTTTCTCTAAAATTTAGAGTGTAGAAATAACAGATAAAGCATTTCATGAGAAATGGTATCAGTTTGGGCCATCATTAAAACACATACTTAGGATGATGATAATAACTAATAATTTAGAGTGCAAACTGTCAGTCTCTGAAAGATTTAATCTATCTTTGCCTTCATTTATGACGGTAAGACTTAATGTACTAGTATTGTATTCAGCACATATGATTATGCCATTTTCGTAAATAATTTTCTTGTAGAAATTATTTACATTGAACCATATAATTTCAATATGTTATTGACACTTATTTTTTCCTAAACATTTTGTTTCTTATAGATCTTGAATCAGTCATACTCGTTCGCACTTCTGTTTCTAAAAATGAAATAAAAACAAAGTACGTTTTCTGTTTCTTGTACAATAAATATTTTAGCACAAATATTTTTTCTTTCTTAATCATAATGATACTATGTACTTATTTATATTATAAATTATTTATTCATTTTGCTATCTACGTATAATATATTCATATTTTTTGTTTCAGTTCTAAAGAACAGCAGAATTTAATTAAGATAAATAATTAAGGAAAAATTTAATTATCCATATATGATGTATATATGTCATACTCAAATACAGTATTATAGAAAAAAATAAGAATTTAAATTAGCTTCTTATTTAAAGAGCTTTATTTAAGGAGATGCTGGAGCGACAGCAAAATTTAATCAAAGTCGATATTACAGGTTTTCATTTCCAACGTATAAGATGCTTATGCCCTCTGAATTAATGATCATGCAGGAAATTCGATCAATTAATTATCGACTATATTAATTATATTTTTATTCGTACATAACCATCTGAGCTCAGGAAAAACATGTATTAGACTCGATCCCACAAATGTAAGATTTATTTTATTTTGGAAAATTTTCTAATTTTAGAATTGAGAAAAAAATAAACCGGGATTGAAATTAATCTTATATTTGTGAAATCGGACCTTAGAAATACAGTTGTATTATGTACACAGGCAATGTAGACAGCGTTCCAATATATTCCACCAGTACTAAATATCTATACATAAAGTACAGATTTTTAATAGTTATAACAGTACGAAGCTGTAGTAGCACTATATTTTATGTCCAATGCTATTTTAGATTAGGATAATATATTATCAATAAATGAATACAATATTGCACATACATGATGTAACTCTCTTTGTTCTGTCTAATAAAAAGAAATAGTTATAGTACAATAAAATACTTATAGTACATACATTATTAACATATCGACTCATATATCCAATATAAAAAATTGTATGTATATACTATGTGAACACACACACACACACACACACACACACACACACACACACACACACGCACGCACACATTATATAAACAGATTTCTCATATTGAAACAATCATGCAAATATTATTTATTTATACGCAATATTAGAATTTTATGTACATACATTGTACATATAATGTATGTATATTCACATCGCACAAACATAACATTTATAATTCTAACATTGTTGTAACAAAAACACGTGTATAAAAAAACACATTATTAGAAATTATAAATTATTAGAGAATACACATTATTAGAGAATATAAATTATAATTATATTTTATATGTATTATAACGTACATATACACAATAATGTACTCAAAATATAATTTTAATATTGCATTAATTCACTAATATGTCTATATGCAATAATAGGATAATATTTTGTGTCATTGTGTGTGTACACATATATTATAATACACATAAAATGTAATTGTAATTCGTATTCATGAATGTCTTTTTAAATACAACGTTAGAATTAAATTTTATATGTATCATTATACACATTATATATTATTGGTGGATCCATATATTCGTTCGGTTTTTGAAGGTAAAATGAAACAAGTTTTTTTCATACAAAGAATGAATTTTAATCAATGATATGATTCTCATTTTTGCACTACTAACAAAAACCGAACGAATATATGGATCCACCCAATAATATAATATGAAATATATAATAATAATAAAATTTATTATTATAGTATAATATAAAATTCTAATATTGCATAAAAATGGACATAGAGAATATCTGCATGAATATCCCAGCATGAGTAATTTTTAATAATGTGTGATTACTGACATATTATAATACACATACAATTTAACATATTACACGTAATATAATATGACATTGGGCTTGTCTTAGCGCCAAGACACTACCGTGTCTCCAGATCATTATCTCTATATTTGAGCATAGATAACTTCTATCTCTCTTTTTGATAGCAAAAAATGAAGTAGCTACATATATACATACATATATATACATGTATATGTAACACGTATCCATATATTGACATAATACATATTACATCTTAACCTAAAATGATATTGGTTATAGGAAAGGTGATACTACGACTGTACCGATATAGATTGCGAATGAAAATATGTAATATATGTACCTATAGATTTTTAGTATTGACAATGTACATTGACACATAGCCGTAATAACATCTTTCCTTTCGTACAATGTCATTTTAGATCAAGATATAACATGTATTAGCAATACATAGATATATTACACATGTATTATAATATACGTAGTATATATACATTATAATATAACTACTCTATTTTTACTATATAATAAAAAGATGTAAAAGTTACTCATGTTAAATATATACATATATTAGTGGTATGTGTATTTAAATATAATACACATATAGGCAATATTATATAATATTGCATATATGTATACTATAATGTGTGAATATACACATGTTACAGATAGAAATTATTTATGCTAAGTTATTTATGCATTCTCTATGTTTAAATATGCAATATTAAAATTGTATGTATACATATAAAATATAATGTGTATACACATAAAATTTAATTGCAATATTTTGTAAATAAACATAGGAAATATCTGCACAAATTATTTCTAGTAATTTGTGTAAATATTTACACATCATAATACACATATTGTACTTACACACATGCAATATTCTAATTTTGAGAAAAACAATTATTGTATAGGGGACTTTAAACCTATAAAATATGCGTATAATTAACATAAATCAAGGCTAATGAGACAATACAGATATATAATGAAAAATTCACACATCCAAAAAGATTGTGTCACACTCACAAATTGAAAAAAGATGCTTGCCAAAGATGAAGTGATGTAAAATTTTAGTAGACAGATTTGTATAAATGTAATTTTGTGATTATGTATGTTAAAGCTTTTTGACACGCTCTCTATCTATTAAAATTTTATATATGAATTTTATTATATGACTTCATCTCTGATAATTTGTGAGTGAAAATCTTTTCGTATTTGTGAGCTTTTCGTAATATATCTATATTGCTAAAGAAGACTCCAAAGTTGAAATGTACAAAGAAGATATCATTTATCAGAGGATTTATAATTTGATTATTTTTTTTTAGTTACGTTTGATCATCAGGGTTTGACTTTTATTAGCTTTGATTTATGTTAGTTGTATATATCCTGATTGTATCCTGATATTGAAAATATAAAAGCATATATCACTAATATCTGTACATTTAACCATAAAAAACATATCTCTTTTTATTAAATGTAGAAAAAAGAGGTAAAGTAGGCCTTGGATGTAAGGAAAAGTATTTACTATTATACTGCTATATACTGCTAGTACCGAAAATCTAATATACATAACGTAAATGGATTTTCATTACCAACGATGTACTGATGTATTAGACATCAATCATTAGCCATTAGTCATTTACTAAAATACTTTGAATATGATATACTTATATACGTTTCCTAAATGTACAGCATTGTATGAAAATTATGCATATAATTATTGACATGTAATGTATGTGATATACATATGTTTTATATATATATATATATATAGAGCATATATATATATATATATATATATATGTATAGCATATATATTATATAGGGTGTCCAAAAAGATCCTCGGATTTATGAGCTGAACATAAAGATGACTATAACTAATCGCGAAGGAATGTGAATTGGACTTGTATCGGCATACATAGTACGCCAAAATATAGTGCGTTGACCTATGACTGTGATTGACGTTCTACGATTCAATTACGACCATCCTTGTGCTAAGATTCTTACATAACGAAGAAACGCTGCAGACAAAAGTTGTAAGGAAGTTGTTTCAAAGAAGTTATTTACTGATATTTAGTTCGACTTGGGTGGCGTCTGCAAGATCAGATCAAGATCACATCCATGTTTTTTTAATGAAATGATGCTATTTTTATTGTAGACTTTAATATACAGTTATTATTAATATGTCGACTTATACGAGGATATAAGTTCGAAAAGTTCTCGGTCTAATACAAAAATTATTCCACAAATATCAAACTGCTATAATTTTAGAAAAATTTGATCCTTTTCAAGATTACTGTTCAAATTTCAGACGGATGTGTTCATTAGTTTCTTTGTTTCGATCGTGTCAAGCAGTCAGTTTTTGATTCCATCATGACAATGCACCCATTCACATCTTCTTTAATTGTAGATGCAAAATTCTACAAATTGATTCCGCAATCGTATTTCACCAAATTTGATAATCGAAATGCCTCTGGCAGTAAATTAAAAATGATCAGCTCACGATGGACGTTTATCTATAACTAGCCAAAGCATTTATGGTTGTGGCATTTTGTTATAGCTCGCCAGCCACGATGAAAACCTCTGATATTGGATCATAATTAAGCAAAGCACAATTTATTGTTATAACATTTAATCATATCTTGTATGATAAATAAAAGTGATATTTTCACGAATCACATGAAGATACTAACTTTTCTCATTCTGGCTTTACAGGGTGCCTTCCAACAAGAAATACATATGACAATAACCAATTTTAACTAATTTTGGCTTTATAAGGTGCCTTCTAACAAGAGATACAATGAGACACAATGTGACACGGTGCATCATTACAGTCTTGTTGTTCGTCAATATACAAGGATGAAATAATCACGGTGTTGTACTGAGTGAGTCGCTTGTTAGAAAACATCCATAATCTTCTCTTACCAAAGGCAGATAATTTTCTGCAACTATATTTTTTCTATTTTGTGGACACAAAACACTGTATAAAT